TGCAGCCCCTATCCACACTCGCTATAGTGTGCGCAGACCGAGAAACTCTCTCTCGGACCCCCCCCAACAAGCTTTCGGCTGACCTGAACTGCCTCCTGGCGGCTCGGGCCGAGCCTACATAACACATCCATTAATCTGCTTTAGTTAGGCACTTTTCTAAGCGGCTTTACGCCGCTTGCGCCCTCCTTTCTGCCAAGGAGGGTCGCGTTCGTATACGGCTTAGAGATCTCTAGTCAGATCGTTAAGCCAATTACCAAAAGGTTGAGTTTAGTGGGTAAAAGTCTCCACATAACCACGCAGCCGGCTGCGTGGTATGCTATGAGCATTCTCAACCTCCCTCCCCCGCTTTCCGGAGGGTTGCCCATATTTGCTTCGGGCGCAAAAAAAAAAAAAAGTAGGGTCGGCCTTTTGCGCCCTCCTTTCTGCCAAGGAGGGTCGCGTTCGTATACGGCTTAGAGATCTCTAGTCAGATCGTTAAGCCAATTCCCAAAAGGTTGAGTTTAGTGGGTAAAAGTCTCCACATAACCACGCAGCCGGCTGCGTGGTATGCTATGAGCATTTTCAACCTCCCTGCCCCGCTTTCCGGAGGGTTGCCCATATTTGCTTCGGGCGCAAAAAAAAAAAAAAAAAGTAGGGTCGGCAGTCGCTCTCCAGCCACCGAAAAGGCAACAACAAGAAGAAAAAGTCACCGCCGCTTGCCTCCTATATAAGCAAGATCAACGCGTTTTATTCATTTTTCGAATGGCGTTACGGCGATCCGTAACACAAACAAAAGTAATAAAAACTTTTGGTAAGTCCAAATGTGCATGCCTTAAGCGCTCGTGTTATATGTCAATTTCTTAAAGTATTTTAAACACACACAAGTTTTCATAAATAACCTTATTACTATGACTTCTATTTTCCGATAATTTTATGTCAAACGTCAATAAAAAAAGTTTGGATAATCCAAAAGTGCACGACTCAAAATTCTCATACGATCGTGAAAAATGTAGAAAAAAATTCTCAATCAACAATAGATTTTTTTAAATTTTACTATGTATTATTGATATTCAATTTTTTATAATTGTTAATTGAACAAACTTTTAATAGAATTATCGTAAAACGAACAGAAATCAACTTTAATTACTATTACTATATGAATATTTAAAAAAAACTACATTCCATGGCTTCCCACATGATAGATGAAGAGATTAAAAAATTGATTGAGTTGAACAATTGTTATTTTAAAAAGTTATCGTGTTTTCATGCGGACTTGATCATCCACACTATAAGCCACTAAAACCACTTTTCAATGTAAAAATAGCAATTGATTTAAAAAAAATAAGTTTAACAATCATTTATCTTTCTGTCAACGTGCCTTTTATATTATTTATATGTATGATTTGATTGTTAGATACCTACGATTTCATGCGACAAAACGTTGTTCTTGATTTTTAGGCGCTAGTAGATCATATCTACGCGCTTTGTGCTTAAGGCATGCATTAATTACCACTTTATGACTTCTAAAGTCCAGACTTTAATTACTAAGCCTTGGTTGATCATCCTCCACAAAAAAATGCCTCATAATAGGAGAGGTACTCATCTCATCACTTTCAGGATGCCGCCGTGACACACGAGCCCGTAGTTTTTCCGCAAAGGATGCGGTTTTTCTGTGAATTATGGCGATGAACCATCCATTCGACCATCTGTGAGACACTGTAGTAACAGAGTAGCACCAGTTCTGATTGTATTATTACAGTGGACGCGTAGGGCATCCAGCGACCTTTTAGTGCAGTTGACCCACAGAGGTACTGCTACCATATGAGTAGATAAACGGGACAGATAATGCTTCATACAACCGCGCGAATCGGTTTCACCACTACTATTACAAGCATGCGGGATGCGGGGCATGTTTGCGTGACCAATGGCCGCTTGTCGCGTACGCGGCGAGAATGGAAAAAACCAGTTGCCAGCGTAACTGGTTTTTTCCACAGCCAGTGGACAATCTCGTGCGACGCACGTTGTTAGTTAGGTTAGTTGCAAGTTTGAATATTTCAATGTAAAAACGTGGTATTATTAATAATGGTTGTTTATTGTACTGTTTGTAAAAACATATCATACTTTAATTGATAGAATCAGGCGTTACTTTGCGGAAATCCATTATAATAAAGATATTAATAAAATTACTTTGCAACCATCTGCTCAATTAAATACAATGATGTGTCTTACCTAGATTGAAGAACACCCGCCCTCCCTCAATTGCCGACTCACTTAGCGGTCAGCCGCCGTAGAGTCAACATCACCTGAAGATGCCTCGTGTAGAGGCGAAACACGTGTCGTATTATCGTCGATGGTGTGTGTTTTCTAGAATAGTGGTGTTGGGAGTAGTGGTGCTGGGATTGGCGGTGACGGGATTAGTGCACGCAATTGAAGGAGGTGTCGCGAACGCGATTTAAATATGGGTAGAATTAATGTTGCTAATACACAATACAATACAATAACTTTATTTCAGGTATCAAGGACGTAAAAATTAAGAACATTGGCCCATATATATCAATTGGCAATATATACCTTAACATAAAAATATATATAAAATATAAATATAACACTATTTAGGGAACTTTTTTCTTTGGCGCGTCCCTGAATCGGCGAAACACTACCCCAGAGGGCCAGAAATCGGGAGCAAGGAATGTCTCTTTGTATTTTGCAGGAACTTGGAGTACGTAGGATTTGAAGTTTGTTGACCTATTAGACTCCAGACGCTGCAAATATAAAGAGATCGGATCCTCTATGCGGCATCGGCTTCGTTCTTCCACGAAACGCAAGGACGTCTTCTCCCGACGTACTTTTGTCCAAACGGGAGATGTAGAGCTGTATGGTAGGCTCCACAATACGCAGAGTTGTGCTTGCGTTTATTTTGGCGGCCCCACGCTGGTTACAGACGGGTCTCGACAGACGTCTCTTCTCAACAAGAGTAAACCCGTCATTATCTCTCTTGTTTCGGGTCACCACAGGAACTGATCTTACATCCCCATTATATTGTTTTCGACCACAAGAGGATACCGGTTGTGAAGATTTTCGAGCAACATCCGCAAACGTCTTCCCTTGTTGACAGGTTGGCTTCAGCGGAGGAGTACTCAAGGGTTCAGTCAAGGGCTGAGGTGGTGATGCAATGACGACCAAGGTCGCCCTAGGTTCACGGTCATCAACCCGCTGACAGACGGTATCGCGTGACGGAGTCGCAATCATCGGTGAAATATGACTACTATTAAGATTACCGTGTGTCGTATTTACATTCTGCGACGGCGGTGAATTCGCAGATGTTGCAATTATGTTGCGCAACATAGTGACTTCGTTTTTCAGCTCAGTTGCGGTTCGTTCCGATTCTTCAAATTTAAAACGGAGATCGGTGACTTCGGCTTTCAACGTGGTGATGTTTTTCAACAATCTGGTCACGTCTACGTGATCGAACGTCACGGGAGGTAGCTTGTTGAGATCACACGCCACGAAAGTTGGGATGTCATCAGGATCGGTCTCATTGAACAGCCTGAAGATGTCTTGCAGGTCTTTCTTACCGCGTCCATCTCTATAACGTGTTATAAGACTGATTTGGGTCACGGCTGAATCTGCTAACACCTTCTTCGCTTGGATGATCTCGTCCTCGGTGAAGCTGGTCATCAGTATCTGCTCCAGGGACACCTGGTCCATGACGTCCAATTTTTGTTGAACAAAGGCCAGGAACTCGTTAACTACGACGGTATCGGAGTGTTTAGGTTGACACGCCATTTCGAATTATTTTCGCGCAGTTGGTATGCTTACGCTACGAAAATATTGTAGGTTCGGCATTAGAGCCGCCACATTACTATGAAGCGACTGCACTGACCGGCAGTAGAAATGCGACTCGAAGCTACACTGCTGTCCTGCCTGCTAAGAGGGCCACACTGCTGTCGCGAACGCGATTTAAATATGGGTAGAATTAATGTTGCTAAGAGGGCAACACTGGTTGAGAGAGGGGGAAATGACTTTAATGTTAGTGTCGAATTAAGAGTCAGTTGGAAGTTGTGGTTCGAAGGAGACACTACTCTCTAGCAAGAGTTGCTGTTGCGTCTTGGCAAGGAGATATTGGTAAGTGTTATATATATTATAATATCTCACTGCATTTCATATTGTTGAAACGTTACCTAGATGTGGAGGCTAAGGGAGAGCTATAAGGGGTGGTTGGAGGCTCTTCAGGGACAAGAGGTCCCGACAAAGAGATATCTGGTAACAGATATTCACTACTACAGAATGTAAGGACATATACGTGTCCTTCATGTAGGTCAATCGCATAAAGAATACCGAATTCGAACTTGGGCAATAACCAATTCGCGATGGAATGAAAAGTCTTCGCGACAGGAGGTGCTCTTCAATCTAGGTAAGACACATCATTGTATTTAATTGATCGGATGGTTGCAAAGTAACTATTAATACCTTTATTATATCATACTTTAACTATCCCAAGCAGTACAATAGGTAAGCAAATATTTGATCATTACATTTTCAGTACTAAGTACTTTAATTTTATTGTATGATCCTTTTTTTTAAAGACTGTACTACACTGGGTGTTTTTTACCTTTTTTACTGTTATTACAAGCTTTTAGTAAACATTTTTAGGTATGTGGGTGGGTTCGTATTAGTAGTTATGTGTGTGTTTAATTTATCTTCACCTATTTTGACAAACCTACCAAAATAGGTAGTAGTCTCTGTTCTGTTTATCTACTCATGTATGTGCTACTATGGGTTTTCCAATCACTAACCGACGAGCATGTATGCGTAGGCACATAGATGTAAAGGAGGCGAAAGAGGTGTGTCAAGATCGTGCCAAATGGAAGTCCGTAGTGGGTGACGGGTGTGAGTTATTATGTTATGTTACGTTATGAAAAATTTTGAATCGATTTATCGAAATTGAGGATATTCGAATAAATAATGGGCTTGCTCTAGCATGCCACTGGCCGCCAGTTTGAATTATAAAAAGGTATTACCTCGAATTTGTGTTATTATTCGGCGCGCTTCCGGCAATTGGGGCAAGTCTGCTGCTCCTGGAGCCAGGGCAGGATGCACGCCTGGTGGAAGTGATGCGTGCACGGCAGCGTCATCACCTCTTGGTCGCGTAGCATCACTTCGAAACATATCGAGCACTCCTCTGGGGTCCACGAACGTTGGCGACTGTAAACCAAACAAGAGTGACTTTCGTTAAAAGTCCTAAAGATAATAATAATAATTTCCCCCCAGACCGCATTTTGGTCAAGACGGCCAGTCTCTATGGATACAAGCCATCTACGCAGGTTAGGATTATGGTGACCAAGTGTATGTGCAAGCACAGGTGGACTCCCTATTTCATATCTCGTAGTGCGATAGGACGGTAATCCGACACGACAGGAGAGATGGCGCAGGTCCAACGGCTTTACATTATTTTGTTAGTATAATTGCAGAAAAATTTACTTTTAACAAATAGTAAACGCCGACTTGAAACAACGCAAATTATTTATTCTGAAGTAGATGTTAAGACATATTGTACTTACCTCATAATAATAATTGTTTATTTCGAACAACTTTTACATCCATATGGGGTTTGTAAAGTATCTTAAAACTATGTTAGTAATAAATTAAATAAGGTAAAAAATTACAATATAAATTAAAAATATAAAATACATTCTCGTGATCTAAGAGTGACCATCAGAAGAAAGGGTAGGTCCACGTGATGGTCACTTTCTGCACAAAGCACCTCCAGAGCAGTGATGTGAATCGATCCGCTAATGTCTAGGATGCTATTGGAACTGTTCCTCACTCTACTGATCAGAAAGCTTGTTCATCTTGCGAATCATGGCTTAGAAGCCATCCGGTTTGGTGCTCCGCAAACATCTCGGACGCCCTGCAAAAACATGGCAGACCCCCCAAATCATCATAAAGACTACTGGATTCGTAGGATGTCCAACGATTTTTTGGTGTGTTCGACCCACAGGTTGCCCGTGTACATGCTTTGACAGTTTGCTTTAAAAAGCGTCAATTTTACCTCATCATCGTCTTTTAGGTACCTTGTGATAACACAAGAAGAGTGTGGTTTGCAAGATGATGATGTGACCAAGATTAAGAAAGGAATGCTTCGGTGGTTTGGTCATGTGGAAAGAATGAATGAGGAAAGAGTGGCAAAGAAAATTTATCTTGCAGAAGTGAATGGCAGAGTCGGAAAGGGACGTCCTAGGCGAAAAGGTATCGACCAAATTGGCGATTTATTGAAAACGATCCAAATTAGGAGTACCCTTAACCGACGAGCATGTATGCGCATTTCACATCTACTTCAAACCTTCCACCGTGGGACTGGGCAGCATTATGTCGTCGGCGTAGCTTATGTTGTTTATGCTAATTCTATTCTCACATGCTACTCAGCTCCACGACGAAATCTTAAAGAGTTCATATTAAAGAGCTTGGGAGATATCTTCTCACCCCGCACCCCAACACATATTCATCCGATAAAGAATCAGCCCATGATTAGCATACTTAATGATTTCTTATATTTACGCGAACACTACACATTGAAATAATACTAGTTTTACGGAATTTATCGCGTATATTTAACTTTTTAAACACCCGACGTTTCGAGAGCTTTACAGCACCCATGGTCACGGGAAGGACTGAGATGTTCAACGTCCAGATGTCATAGTTAACCGCGGTTTCCATAGATTAAAATTTAACTTTTGTTCCGATCTACACAGTATGAACTTATGGTATCATGAAGTCTTGCAGTTGTATGCTTGGGTTGGGATTTAATTTTATTTATTATAGGATCCCAATCAGATGGTAGCACCCAGCCATCTTCTCTATTGAAATTAGGATGTTTTTTTATTTCAATAGCCTCGCGAATCATCCTTGGAAGGAATCGGTGTTCTTTAGCGAGGATTTGTGGTCTATCAAATCTGATGTAGTGACGGGGGCGATCCTGTACGTGTTCACAGACTGCAGACTTCCCGGAGCGTCGATTCTTCACATCAGCTATATGTTCTTTAACGCGGGTTTTAATTGATCTTTTAGTTTGTCCTATGTAAGAGAGACCACATTCACAATCAAGCTTGTACACTCCTGCATCTTGCAGAGGGACGTTACACACGAAACGTCGGGTATTTAAAAAGTTAAATATACGCGATAAATTCCGTAAAAACTAGTATTATTTCAATCAGCATACTTAAGCTTGCTCAAGGCCAACACTTACGGCACATCACTATTCCCCAGTTTCCTCCAAAGTACATCATACGACACCATATCAAAGGCCTTCAAGAGACCCAAAAAATAGGCATATACCGGCGTCCCACGCTGAGTATAACAATGGGCAGTGCACTTAAGACTTACTAAGGCGCTTTTAGTCGAAACCCAAAATGAGCATCATATATGCTGGAATGTTTTTTCAATTCAGAGTTTAAGCACACTATCCCAATACTTTCGCAATTGTTGCTGCCAGTGCGATAGGACGATAGTTCCCCCTGTCCGAGATATCACCAGTTCTATTCTTAATAATGGGCACGACGATGGTTTTCATTAAGTCTTGTGGTAGAATAAGAGTGACTTATGCTTAAATGAAAAGAACAGAGCCAAGACCCTCAGTAGGTGAGCCCCGAGTATCGCAGGTGCTCCACACTAATGTCATCATGACCAAGCGATTTACCGCTACCCATTTTCTTGAGAGCCTCTCTTATTTGGTTTGCAGTAACGTGCAGTGATGCCTCTCCCTGACATTCTGACTTAGCGCTGGGGGAACTGTGGCCGGAGACAGTAGGAGAGTGTACCTTAAACTGATGCATGAAATCATTGGTGATTTGCACCGGGTCACCGACTCCCTTCATCCACCGATCGGCCAGGCTTAATGACGCACTTCTTAGTAACCTTCCAAAAATCCTTAAGTTTTCGTGGATCGGTGTTTAGCGAGGCGATTGTACAAGTAGCCACATTATGAAATCATATATTTTAATTTAAACGAGCAATTCTTGTATATATATATATATATATATATATATATATATATATATATATATATATATATATATATATATATATATATCAGAATGGGTCCCACATATATGCAATAAATGAAACCATATACTTGTTATCGCCTTTGCTGACGATATACAAAAAATGAACGTAATCGCTCCAGTAATTAGGTCAAAAAGTAGAGTTTTAATTTTAAGCAAATTTGAACTCTCTATAGAATTGGGTCACTGATTCAATGAACTTGAATCCTTGAACATTAAAAAGCGACGTTGCCAGGCAGTGCAAACTATTGGTATTGCGACATATCGACTGCGGTGTCTTTTGTCGGCGTCCATAAACAAGCGGCACGAGGCACGCGGCGTACTTCAAAGGCGACAGCGCAAGTGCGCGCGCGCCTTTGTCGTAGAGTAGGACACCAGTTATCGACGATTAGCTTCTTTCAAAGGGAGTAATAATCGATAAACAAAAAAAAAATGTTTAGCTTTAAACACTTAGGGTATGGTTTTTTTAGAATAATCGTGTTGTTATGATAATTCTAAAAACACTACGACCTAAGTATTTAAAGCTAAACTTTAAAGCTTTTTTGTTTAAGTATGTTCTTGTAGATTTAGAGATAATAAATTATTTTAACATGCTAAAAAACCCATAAAAACAACCAATTAAAAAGTCATACATACTTACCCGTTTCCCAGGAAGTTACAAATCGGTAGTTTCGTAAGTTCAATTGTATAAAAATAAACTTTTTTTTAACAATCAATAACTTGTCGATTGTTATCAAACCAAAAATCAAAATTACTTGCATTCAAATGTAGTAGGTAAGTAAGTGTAAAAAGAAAAGTATCGATAAACGATAAATAATTGCACCTTGTGGCCGCCCTATTTATTACTTCTATTATTTTCGCCATTTTGGAATTTGGAAATTCGGCTTCCAGTTCACGCGCAATTCTCCCAAAATACAGGTGTGTTTCGCTGCCTACACGCATCGCAATTATTTATCGTAAGATAATTATCGTATTATCGTAAGATAAATACAATTAGTCGAACAATTCTTTTACGGTGAAATAGACACTTATTAGTTAATTGACTTTGTGTGTGTAAATAGTGTTTTTAAGTACGTTTATTTTTATTATTTTTTCACTGTGATATTGACACTACTTGACTTTTGTGTATACGTTTTGGCGGCGGAAAATGCCAAGACAACAGCATTTTTACAGTGCGGCAGAGTATACAGACATGGTTTTATTGTATGGTGAATGCCACCAAAATTCAGCGTTAACTCTGCGTACTTATAGTGAGAGATACGGCGCAACTCGCGTCTGCCCTACTAGCGTCCGGACAATCCTAGGTGCTGTCCAAAGAATCAGGGAAAATCAGCTCATAGTGCCCAACACTCATGAAAGAGTTGCTCCGTGTCACTTTCCACCCTCGTTCGAACAACGAGTCTTAGACCATTTCGATCGGAATCCAACCTGCAGCCTTAGACAAGCTGGGCGTGTGTTTAGAGTGCATTATGCGGCGATGTAACTTGTGCATTCAAGAACGTGGCGGACATTTTGAAAATTTTAAAATTTAGGGTTTCATTAAATTTTGCTACTAATATGCAATAATATTTATTTCGTTCAGTTCCATTTTCGCGAAATAAAAAAGTGGCGGTAAAATATCTAAACAGTTTAGTGAGTAAGTTTTTATTTCGTCGCCCATTGTCCAACGAACCATAGGCCGTGCCGACAATCGCCATGCCACCCGCGTGCAACGTTGTCACTCTTCCAAGGGGTCAAGGTACGTTGTCTAAACAGAGTGTTCACTTTTACTGAATTTATTTTAATATTTAATTTTTCTACACTTCTACGGACTAGTATTACTTGTGGTTTCATTTATTGCATATATGTGGGACCCCATTCTGTATATATATATATATATATATAAAATCGGAATCTCGGAAACGGCTCCAACGATTTTCATAAAATTTTGTGTGCAGGGAATTTCGGGGGCAATAAATCGATCTACCTAGGATTTATTTTTAGAAAATGTCTTTTTGTCCGTGTTTTTAGGCAATGAAAAACTGCTACAATATCGTTAGTATAAGAAGGTAAATTTTGACAGTTTATTAATGATTACAAATAGCTTAATTGGTATTATATTGGGCGGTCACAAAATCGTAATACCATGATTCGAGCCCAGACCGACCGACCGACTTTTTCTAATTTTTTTTCAAGTTCCTTTCTTTTTTGAGAAAATCTATTTCTTCGAGCCCTTTTTTTAGTATTTTTTAAAAACACGAAAATTTAAATTAAACTAATTGCACTCATAATTTTTTATTCAAATAACCAGTTCAGTTTTTTCTATTATGTCGCTAAGAGCAAAAAATATTATTCGTATTTCATAAGTATTTAATTTGTATCTAAATATAATTTCCAAAACACACGAATTAAAAAAAAACGAGCGAAAAATACCGAGCAAAGCTCGGTCAACCGCATATATATATATATATATATATTATATATATATATATGTTATATATATATATGCCAGTCACAAAGATTTTTTGATTGGCTTAGTACAAGGCCACTTTTTGGTTTTTTTAGCGGCGTCGCTTTGGGCACATACAATGTCACCATAAAGTCTATCAAGCACCTGTTCATGTTGCTCTTAATTGCACAGCTCGTACGTGGTACAGCCATACTGCAGTTATATTAGTAGCATAGTTATAGCACGAATGGGTCGGCTCGACCGGGGAAGGACCACGCTCTCACAGAATACCAGCGTAAAATAGTAGCTTAATGCTGCTGTGTTTCGTATGATGAGTGTAGAGAACCGGAGACCCTTTTTACTGGAAACGAGGCATTCCATCTTAGTCCTCACGGGGGACGAGGAAAGATGTAGATCTCTATGGGCCACAGCAACCACTTACCATCAGGTGGACTGTGTGCTCGTTTGTCGTGCCCTATCTTTAAAAAAAAAACTACAATGTGTGAACTCAGAGAGAAACTGAATCTCACGTAAAAAACTACGACAATGATCTTGGTATTTAGCTATTTGAACTGATTGTAATGATTCTATTTCACCGTATATCACTGAGCTAACATGCAAGTCGTGCTCCATCAATTTTGGTCTAACTATGTTAAAATCACATGTTACAGTAAAAGGTAGATGATCTGATACAAAAATATCCTCAATAACCTTTACTTCTCCAACAGTTTGCCAGGCTGAACTTGCGTCTGAAATCTGTCAAATATTTTTTTTATAGAATAAGAGTGACCAACGAGCGCACAGTCCACGTGATGGTATGTGAATGCTGTGGCCCATAGACATCTTCATTTATCCTCGGTTAATAATCAAAACGCAGATGTGTTGTCACCCTTAAGGACTAAGATAGAATGCGTTGTTTCCAGTAAAAGAGGGTTTCCGGATCTCTACACTCACAATACGAAACACAGCAGTATTAAGCTGCTGTTTAACGTTGGTATTCTGTGAGAGCGTGGTCCTTCCCTGCTCAAGCCGACCCATTCGTGCTACAACCATCATATAGCTGCAGCGTGGCTCTACCACGCTCTCCAGCTCTGGTCAAGGGAGGACGATATGGTGTCTGAAGCCCATATGATAGTGTAATATCCGTAAAATTAGTTTTATTTCATAACCTCAACCGACTAACATTCTTGTTTGCAACAGTTTTTACTAAAACATTTATTTATTAGTAAAATTAGATCAAATTGTTAGCTCATTTCACAACAATTAATACTAGTTATAGGACATAAACAATTCTAGGTTAAAAAGAAATTGCCCAGAAAATTCCAAAAAAAAAAAAAACCGAATAAAGTATTGAAACAAATTTTCAAATTCCACATCTATAAATTGACATTAGAACAAGTGTTAGTATATCTACAGGGTTAGAGTAAAAGCTCCAAATTGAAAGCTTACAATGCTTGGTCTCTTAGGATAGCCAACTGTTCCTCTTCGGTTCTGTAAATTACCAATAAATATAGTGTTTCAATAACATGTTAAGATAAAAGTGCCTGTGTTTTCAAAATTAAAATATATCATCATAATAACAAATAAAGAATGGGATTGTAAATATTGTTGCAAACGATATATTAATATTCGATAAGACACTACCTACATAGTAATATACGGACTATTTAAGGATCAACTTCATGTTTATATGCACTAACTGTTTAAAATTATCTGGTTCTTTAATATAATTTTATTTTGTATTCATATACCGTATGACTTTTTTTACCGTCTGGAAAAAATAAGTAATATGTGAATGGTCACTTGTAAACGATATAATAAAAAAAATAAGTTCAAATTTTGAAAATGGAACTCTTTGCCAATACATATGTATGTATTTTATAAATTTGTCATTTGTTTACGATTTGGCGGCAATTTGAAATTTGTCTGTGTCACGTCAACATTAATTTAACGCGAGTAAATAAAGTCTTTAGAAACTGGCCACTTGCAAACGATATAATAAAAAAATAAGTTCAAATTGTGAAAATCTCATCATGCAGCGTGGTACACTAATAATTGTTTGCCAATTGTCTTAGAAAAAGTTCGAGAGAAACGACCTCGCAGTAGAATCCTCCTTCACCACGCCAACGCCTCGTTGCACACCGCCAAGCAAACAATCACATCACACTTGGCGACGTCAGACGTGGAATTATTGAGTCACCCTTCCTATAGACCCAACCTCGTACCTTGCGATTTTTATTTATTTCCGAAAATAACAGAAAAATTCAAGGAAAATGTTTTATGGACGACGAGTAAGCAGTGGCTGCTTTTCAAAATGCCGTCTAAGAAACCCCTAAGGACGAGCGGGCAGTGCTTTTATCAGTGGTTCCATCGGATGCAGCAATGTTTTGACGTAAATGGACACTATTTTGAAAAGATATGTATAATAAAACTAATAACTTGCTAGTTTGTTCAGTTTTTGATTTTCTAAGAACTTTCAGTGTCAAGCCTCGTATAGATTGTCCTAGAGTTATCATGGAGTATATTAAAATAAAAAATTGGAACTCCTAAGTTCGGGCTCATTAGGAGAAGAGGCAGAGCACTGTCGTTTAAGTATCGCAATCTTTGTAACGAGCGTCGCTTATCGCCCGCAAGCACAGTTTTGAGGTACAAGGCTCCCAAATTTTGTGCTCTCAAGTGCGTGGCCAGGTGAGCAAGCCACGGATTTTAAATTTAAACTTCGAGAGACTTCCTCTTTTTCCTATTTATTCAAGTGTTTTTTTTTATGTAGGTACGTAACACAAAATAATATTGAACAAATTTTACCAAAAGTTTTGTATTTCATAGGCGTACATTAAACGCTCATGCAGGCGTCAATCGATTCCATCAATCATGATTGATAAAAAACGGATGGTGACTGATAGGCGTACATTACGCGCTCATGCAGGCGTCAATCACTGCATTATACGGTAGGTTATTCGTCAATTACAGCCATGATTATTGTAAACATAGAATACTATAATACACAACAGAATGGCTGTCAACTTTATTTTATACGAGGATTGGCGTCGCGAAACCAGATTCGCTGTGTTGACAGACTGTAAATTTACATTTTTACTTTTGATTAATGTTCAAAATCATCATTAAAAAATCGTTTAAATTTTAATACATACTTATATGTAAATAGTGTGCAATTGGGTATTTTCTAAATAATTTGCATTCGAAATTTGGAAACGATTGTTACGTCGAAACACATCTCGTGTTGACATTTATACGTGTGAATTGACATGTTAGTGACATTTTAGTGGCTACACGGGCTCCGCCCACTCCCCCGTTCTAATAAGTATGTATTATAGTATTCTATGGTTGTAAAACTGACAGCCTGCATGAGCGTGTAATGTACGCCATAGAGATTTCAATGTCATGCAATGATAATTTTCTTTAAGTATTTAGTTGTATCGTTGTTAGTACTCCTGTAGAAAACGTCTTTTTAATTAAGTTAGAAAATTGAAGGAAAAAATGGCCTCAACTCACATTTCTTGATATCGGTGGCTTCTCGGATTAATTACATTGACAATATTACTAAAGAACTCGCGTATAGGCGATCTTTGTCTTCTATCATACTCGGAATGCCATTCAAATGTATTTATTACTTCCCATCCGCTTGAAGTGCTTGAACCTGATCTAGTTGAAATTCTCAATGTCGAACATCTTGTTTCATAAGTATTATTTGCAGTTGACCTCTCATTATACCGTATATCTTCTTCAGAAACAGATAATACACTATAGATACTATCACTGGATTCAGAATGCGGTTCTACGCTAATATCACTGCGATTGTCCATATCACTGTCATAGTCTGTTACAGATATCTCAGAAAATGAATCGTTTGATTCAGAGCTACCTACTGTTAAACTCGTCTCGTTGAGTGTACTACTACTATAGGAGATGTTAAAATCTTCATCAGTGTTTGAGATTACTGATGACACTATACTGGTATCAGAAGTGACATTTTCAGATATTGTAGTGTAATCATCCGAATCCACATCCATGTTGCATTGCATTTGGTCACAATCGGTATGATTTCTGTTATATTACAATATGAAAGTGTGAGTAATGAAATGATAATGGCAAATTAAAATGGTATACAATATGTAAAAAAACTCTGTCCGTTTAATTGTACTATTGACTGTTCATGTAGTTCTACTCACAGAAAAATTAAGAAAGAAGGTTATTACTGAAATGGTTAAACTTACTTGGCAATACATGAGGCACAAACAGCAGTTGGTTAACAATATCTAAAGGTCACGACTTTCATTCATATCTTCATTATATTGTTAATTCATTATAAAAAATGATTTTAAAATGCAAACATTATTTAATTGCAGCTACTTGGGATGCCATTGCCAACGACAGTATTGCTACGTTTTAAGCAAATTGTAGTAAAAAATACGTATTTTTAATAACAATAACATTTTTTATTCACTAATTACATTTTAATTTTATTTTGGTAACATGTCCTACCTATACGCCACAGTGTGTTCTTACATATTGTAGGTAAATTATCAATATTATTAAAATGCACAATGAAACATTAAACAAGCAATAAGATTAAGCATTTTGTACAACCGACAATAACATAAATAAGATAAGAACAACATCAATGTAGTGAAAGTCATTTAAAATTTAAATATGCTTTATTAAGAACAACTCTTAACTTTCTCAGAAAAACTACTATCAGATATTTATATGGGATCACATGAGAAGCACTAGCTTTCAAATAAAAAAAAGAATGATCAAAATCAGTTCACCTAAAAATAAGTTCTGAGGTAACACACAAAAAAAGTACAGTCAAATAAAAACCTCCTCCTTTTTTGAAGTCAGTTGAAAATAGTTCAAAATTAAAGTATTCATTAATACATTACAATCTTTAAGCAGTTCTCTGATCAACCTAGGTCTCTCCCAAGGTATGCCACAAAACACGGTCCTAAGCCACCAGTACCCATCAACTACCTGCATATCTTATATTACTCTTATATTATATATCTTATACTTTGGTATGGAGCTGCCACTCAAAAAAACTTTCTTCCTGATCAGTTATCGGTTCTTTAAATTATACGGCTGGGCAATTAGCCACTTCAGCTTACTGATTCACTAGGCCAGTGGTGGCAAACCTTTATATATCAACGTGCCATTTTTCTAAAAAAATGTTTCATTAGGTAATGGATGTGCCGTAAAATAATTTTGACTTTGTGATTATTGGGAAATAATAGTGCTAAATACTTTCGACTCAAAACTCATTATTTACTACAAAAAATACATAAAGAGTTTTGAATTGAGACATTTATTATTATACATTGTAAAATACATATTGCCTTACAACCGAGTACACAGTCTACCTGATGGTAAATGGATACTGTAGCCCATAGACATATATTTCTATTCTCGATTTTGAAATAAAATGCTGGTGCGATAGTTACTCTGAGGAGTAAGAAGTATTGCTGCTGTTTAACATCTATATTCTTAGCATGGTCATTCGTGCTGTAGACATAATTAATATGTATATCCGATTTTATGAATAGTTGTAATTGAATTTTCATCTATAATTGCTTATTTTTATAGTATCAATAAAACCATATACTGCAAGCCTCTTGGTCTATTTAGTGCTAGCTTTCGATTTGGGTCCCAGATAGGTTTTTGAATGGGTCAGCGACCGGAGAAGGAACACACTCTCACAGAATACCAGCATAAAAAAGCAGCTTAATGCTGTTGTGATTGTTATGTTCAGTTTAGAGAACCGGAGACCAGTTTTACTGGAATTTAGGCATTCCATCTTAGTCCTCAAGGGTGACAACGTATGTGCATTTTGATTGTTAACTGAGGATATAGGATATATGATAGATAAAGATTTCTTGGGCGGCAGGCTTACAAAATCCAAAAACCATTAGGTGGACTGTGTGTATTTGTTTTTCATTTCATCCTTATTCTTGTATTAAATTTTATTTAACATTGCAAAATATTTATTATAATAATAATAAATGTTTCGTAATTAAAATTAAAGCAACATTAGCATTAGTGTGACTTGTTTTGTTGTAGACTAGATGGCAAATAACTTGTATTGGGGTTGTTAAATCAAAAATATAACACAAATGAACTTTTAAATACAGTTGTGCCAACGAAATTGACTTTTATGCTATGCGTAAATAAACTATGAATTTCTTGGGGGAGGTTTGGACTTGTGAAGGGCTGTAACAATGATAATGATGAAACGAACTACGCATTAGCAATAAGGCCACTTGCGTTCATTCGTAATATAATACTTCATAGTGAACTTTGTGATTGGTGGCATGCCCAAAATAATGTGCCACGTGCCATTAGTTCGCCACCCCTGCACTAGGCTATGTCTTCCCTGATTTAACCGCAGATAACATCATTATAGATTCTAATATCCTCCTAAATCATTAGTAAAAAATTACTGTGAAAAATGTATATGCTAATAACATAAGTAAGTACTAGTGAGTCTATAGCAGCATCATTTATTTAATTTAAATACCAGGTTTTTACCAATTTGAAATAAGAATATGAGAAAAATGTGTGGTGGTCATGCCAGGACATGGCTACCAGATTGTGTGGTTAAATACAAAATAAAAATATTTCATTTTCCATCAGAGGTTCTATTTTGGGTTGGATTTAGAAACATGTCGCAGAAGGGGGGAGGGGGAGAGAGATGTGTCCCCTACAACCAGGATAATATTTATCTCTATCCAGCAGAAGAGGGGCAGCAGAGCGGGGAGCGGGAGTGTTCCCTATCACAACTGTAAGGATTTCTGGGTGCTCGTGTGTAATACTACGCAAATCCCTGAAGTCAATGGTAATTATTTAAATAGATATGGCTATAAAACATCTATTTGCAACTTTGCTTATACCGTCCTCATCACTTTTAGCCAGAGTTTAGTATGGAGTAGCACATATATCAGTAGTAATACACGTTAATTAATATAAAACACAGAGTACATAGCAAATTGAATTAAAGCATCTCCCTTGGCATTTTGCCCACATTAAAGTTATAAGAGCAGTGGTAAGTCAAGGCCACAACTCTTGCTGTAAATTTCACAATACATCAGCAACTCAAATTCGGTCCCCAATTGTACTATTAAAATTTGGTAGTTACAATTTAAGTGCCATCTTGTCACATACTTGACAGTTAAGGAAAACTTTGTGAGGAAACCTGCATGTATGAGAAATATTTCAGATATGAAGTCTCCTGCCCCTAAGCCCACTCAGAAATGAGAAGAGGCCTTGGTATCGGATGTCCCAGAAAGAATGGATAATCCTAGAGCGCCTATTGGTACAGGTATCAGGCACTCTAATTAAAACACAAAAAAAATCCAAATATGAAGGTTTTATATAAAATATGTTTTTATTGACTTTACTGTACTTTCATATACACCACTGCCGCAAATAAATGAAATTTGTTGAGTTTTTGGTGTTCTCCTACTCCTCATAGACTATTCTGTTAGAAATGCAGTAAAGAGTATGAGTATCTATTGTACTTTTTTGCAAAATAAAAAGTACTTCAATTTTTAGCATGAAATTTTATTAAAAGTTTGAGAGCCATTTGTGCAAAAGAATATGAAGACCTAAGTGGCCAACTAAAATTCAAAAATATTCAAAAATATGGGCAGTTAATACAGTTTACAAAATGGTATAATACATAATTTTATACAAAGAAAGAAAATTAAAAAATCTTATCTTTTCTTTAACGGTGAAAATGACAAGGACGTTCTTTAGTGAAAGAGTGCTTTTTACTGTAGGAAAGATCGTATAATATCGGTATCCACTTTTTTATTTGAGTGCCTGATACCTGTACTGTTAGGCGCTCCAGGATTATCCATTCTTTCCGGAACATCCTGTATAGGCTATAACTTTAAAAGTAATAAACAATCAATCTTTATTTTGCATGTTCCATTTTCTGTATAGGTAATTACATCTATAAAAGCATTGAAATATGAAGGTAGAACGCAACGTAAAAAGGCAACTTCAGCAACCACAAAAAAAATAACATGTTATTGCAAGAACTGGAAATGTAGGTATCTATTCAAGTGGTCAGAGCAGGTTTCTTACGGATAACCTTTAAATCTTTTAGAAAGGAATATAATAGGTATAATTAAATTGCAGTTAAAAATAAGTATCAAGGACAGTAATACAGCAGTATAAACAGAAGTTATAAATTATTAAATCTTCGCAACAGAAAAATGATGTCTTACAAAGTCTCAGTTTGCCATCCGGTTGTGGACCCTTCGCTGTGCGGATTTTCGGGACTCTTGCTAAAGAAGTAGTACAGGGCTGCTCCAACGCCTACGCCGATTGCAGCTGCTGCCAAGCCGAGTCCGCGACTAGAACAGCCGTTTTTCTGCCTTTCTTCTTCACGGAAACTCATTTTCCCCCTCTAAAATTTATATACTAAATGTTTTCGATTTACCTTCACAAAAACACAAACGCATATCAAATAAATATTTTTTTTGTCAATACATACAATCATAGACTATTATGATATTTACGGTTACACACGGTTACACCCACGGGGGGTCAAGTCTCTATGGAGCCGATGCAAACGTCGGGCAAAATAAGCGAAACAGAGACAACGCCATACGCTAGAGCTAGACAGAGAAATCACTATTGATGCTTTGCTTTGCAATATGGCGGATTATTGAAAGCGCTAAACGTACTTTGAAATATTTTTATTTCTATTGTATATTTCTTTGCTTTTATAGCATGTGCCTGAAGATTTTTACGAGATAGAGACTCATTATTTCGTGCTACTGTGTTTTTGTTTTGTGTGCCCGCTGAACGCTTAGAGATAGAGACTCATTTCCTTATATTATTATTTGGTGTTTGTAATTCTTTTTGCCTGGACAATTTTACGAGATATAGACTCATTTCTTTTTTTTGTTTTGTGTACGTGTGTCTGAGCATTATTTGTTAATATGTCACGCCATACGCGCTATGAACGAAAAAGAAAGTGTGCAAAGTGTAACATCACTGCCACAGAAGATGGAAACTTGAGTTTCCACAGATTTCCTCTACCTGGTAGACATACATTTTTAAAGTAAGTAACTAAGCTATTCTAATTTTTTGTTACTTTTCCCTCATTATCTTATTAAGTACCTAGTACTTAATGTTTTTAACATTCATAATGTTCATAACATAGTAAACATAATGTTCATAACATAAATTTTTCATTGCTGGGCACATGCCTCCCCCAAGGGTCACCATAACGACCAGACCTGTGTGTCTCGCATCCATCTGCTACCCGTGACCCTTACCAGGTTATTGGTCTTATCTTGTAGAAGGCCTTGCAAACTGTGATCAAAACTACACTTAGATTTTAAAAAATCAATAATTTCAGGGCACATGTATGGGCTGAATACTGTTACCCTACTGGAGAGTGGTCAACTGAGAAATCACTAAGAGACTTGCACTCGCAACACAAAATGTTATGCAGTAAGCACTTTGATGATTCCTCATTCACTTAACAGTGCGAGGATAAGATTGCACAATTTTGCCATCCCAACTGGGACACAGGATTTAATGGTAAAGATTCGCCAGGAACAATGTGCAACTGCAAGTGAAAGTAAACAAGATACAAATATCTCAGTTGAAAAACCTCAAGTAAGTAAACATTAATTACTATATTACTCAAAACTCCATCAATCATTAAGCTTGATATGTGGTTGGAATTTATAAGTACAGTCAAACAAATACTTAAGCTAAAACTCACAGAAAGAAATTAATAGGCCTTGTCTAAACTCTATTTTAAATTTCATTTTGTTTTAGAGAAACCAAACAACCAAAAGGTTGACTTGTAAAGAATGTCTTGATGCATGAAATCTGCCCTTGTACCACTGTTGATTAAAAAGAAATTTAAATAAGTAAATAAATAGACCTCATTAATTTTCATCAGGCATGATTCAGGTCAAGAGCAAACTTGTATCAGTAATAATAAAAACAGTTAACTCAACGTCAATCATAGTATTGTTAAAAACCAAAATAAATACACAACCCTCAATCTCAAATAATGGTTTTCATAAAAGTATTACTTACTTACTCTTTTTTATTAGAAGTTCAATCATGAAGTTTTCAACAAGTTGAACACAAAAATGAGGATAATATGGCATTGGAAACATCCTGATAATTTAAATGTAGAAACTGATCATCACTTTGTTTACAAAATAAAATAAAAAACCAGGAAAATAAAACTGCTTGTCTCTAGTTACTCAATTGGTAATGTAGTTTTGCAAGAGGTACTGGTGATTAAAGACTTAGGAGTAACTATTGACAGAAAGCTAACCTTTAAATCTCATATAAACATTATTGTTTATTAACAAAGCCCTGAAGTTCTTAGAATTTATTACGCGCAATATAAAGGGTGTCAATTTTTTTTATATAATGCTTTTGTAAGAAGACTCCTTGAATTCGTTAGTGTCATATGGAATCCATCTTCTAGTGTGCACTCCCAACGCATTGAAAGTATACAGCATGCCTTTACTCGACATCTTGCCTTTTATGCCAGTGGTATCTCACATAGGCAGCCTTACTATCAGCGACTGGATAGGTTTAAGGTGATGTCTCTCCAAAATAGACGAAATATTCTAGATTTGAATTTTCTACATAAAATAGTACACCATTAAGTTAAGTGCATTGACCTCCTTGACAGCATTTCGTTTGCTGTTTTGCATAAATATCCCCGTTGTCGCATCGCAAAAAAAATTCGTATTCCTTTTGTGAAAACTCATCTCGGTAATCATGCTCCATCGTGCATATATGTGGAAAATAGAATGAATTTTCTAAATTGTTCATTGTAATTTTTAGGTGCTAGTGTTGGAACCTTCATTACCTGTTCAGGTGCCAACCACAGCCAACCCAACTACATCTTTACCTGTTCAAGTGCCAACCATATGTGAACCAACTACTGATAGCTTGAAGGTTTGTAGTACTTATAATAATTTTCACTCACATGTATAACATTATATATGTACAACATTAAAACTTGTGAAACTTTTGTTCACATTTTTGGTCGTATAGAATGTGATGATGTTTTACTGGGCAATAGGGAATATGAATGCATTTTTTATTTGCGAAATTAATTAACTATTAGCTCTAGTAAACAATTATGAAATAATTTTTAAAGTACCTTCATCAGCGACAATGTTATAAAGCTACAAAGATACCAATTAGGGTCCGATAAAGACTATGACGGCAATGTCTGTGCCGACCATACATCTGCCATGCAAAACAGCATTTTCGCGAGAGGGATAGATATAATTATTTAAAATGGTTGTATCTTGTTTGTTTTTATATCAATTTTGATTCTATTGCCCTGTTAGCATTATGTTTTGTATATTTTTAGATAAACTGTATGGTCTTATGAATATTTTTTCATGCATAGTCCCTATTTCGGGCACAGTGACCAATTTCTCGTATAAATAAGAAACAAACTAATGCTTGCTAATTATGTAGATTAATATCACCATAATGATTCTTACTCAGGTAATGTTGAAACTGATCATCACCTTTGTTCACAAAAATCGTCTCGTTGTAATTTTCAGATGCTAGTGTTGGAACCTTCATTACCTGTTCAGGTGCCAACCACAGCCAACCCAACTACATCTTTACCTGTTCAAGTGCCAACCATATGTGAACCAACTACTGATAGCTTGAAGGTTTGTAGTACTTATACTATTTTTCATGAACAATCTTAATCACAGTGACCAATATCTCATAATTAAATAAGTATAATAAACAAGCTCTTGACTTTGGCGCTTGCTCAGGTATCAAGAGTTTTCTTCATTGTTTATTAACTACCTACAAGAGTGACACTGAAAGTTCTTAGAAAATCAAAAACTGAACAAACTAGGAAGTTATATTAATATAACTTAATTTTTATTATATATTATAAAAAAGCGCTGTCAAATCGTAAGTAGCTGTTTTCCTCTAGGACACGATGTTAGTTTTAACCGGGGAACCTAACCTAATTTAAATATATGTTTGTGAAGTATTCATATTAAAAACTTACCAATCATGAATTTTTAATAATATGTATGTGTCTATTCATGTCATTATATTACTTAAAACTAATATTGCAAAAAAAACAACTTATAAACTCTACTTCAAAACAAACAAATTAAATAAGCAAAATGGCGGATTGTGTCAGCGCTACTGAAGTAGCAATCGTGTCCTGGCCGGAAACTATTTTAGCGCTAGTAAGTGTTTGCTAGAGCTTTTTTCTGCCAAACGCACCCATTGTACGAAAATTTTCTAGCGTTGAGTTCATGTTGTCGTGACACAGACAATTTTCAATTTGCCGCCAAATCGTAACCAAGTGACAAATTAATAAAATACATACACGATAATATTGGTAAAGAGTTCCACTTTCAAAACTTGAACTTATTTTTTATTATATCGTTTGCAAGTGGCCAGTGCTAAAAACTTTCATTGTTGCCCTCATATGTATAGGTTTCGAACCTACAGTCTGTTTATGTATTGTTTAAGAAATGAGGATCTATATGATCACAATATTTAACTTATTTCCAGATGCCAAGGACTAAAGGGATTTTGAAGGAGCTAGATTTAAGTAAGTCATTGGAATTGACCCCTAAGAAACTTAAACTGTATAAAAGATGTAGGAGAAATTTGAGCGAAATAATGAGACTTAGAAAAAAAATTAAGAAACAACCACGTGCCCTCTTCAAAACATTAACTACAAATAGTAATGTCCAAAGTCTCATGGACAAAAATATATCAGGGCCATTTGCTTTATTGTTGCAAAGTCAACCGCAAAATACTCCCAGAAAACTAACTGGTCGGAGGTGGAGTATAGATGACAAAGTTATGGCTTTAAGCATCTATAAAAGGTCTACTGGCTGCTATAGACTGCTGAGGCGACTTTTTTGTCTACCAAGTGAAGGTACATTAAAAGCATTGCTGAATAGAATTCCGATGACATGCGGTATAAATAGCTAAATATTCAAAACAATTAAAGATATAACTAAAAATCGAGAACCAGAAGAAAATCTGTGCATTTTGGCATTTGACGAAATGTCAATACGAAAACATTTGCAATATAATAGTAAACAAGATGTAATTGATGGTTATCAAGATCATGGAAATCAAGGCAGAACTATGGAGCCAGCCACACATGCATTGCTTTTTATGGCTATTGGAATCCGAAAAAAGTGGAAGCAGCCTTTAGCTTTCTACTTTTCTGGTGACTGTGTTACGGCTGATAGATTATCTGTTCTTATAAAAGAAGTAAGTATGCAATACAGTTGACTGAAGAAAAAAAGCCATTGCATACTCAATATATTATATAATTATATATTTGTATTTACAGGTACTTGATGCAAGCTTCCAAGCTGGGTTGAATGTCACAGCTACTGTATCGGACAACTTTGGTGTGAACATCAAAGCACTAAACTCCCTTGGTTCCTCAGTGGCTCAACCATATTTTGAGTTTAAAGGCCATGAAATCGTCACAATTATAGACCCACCTCACCTAATCAAATGCTTCACAAATAATTTACTGAAGTACGACATTAAATGCCCTCAAGTATTGCAAATTGATGGAAAATCTATACCAGGTAATTTAAATGTTGTAAATAATAGATAATAATAATAATAGGTTAAATAATAGGTATGACATGAGTACATGACTAAGGTCAAAGGTGGCAATTCAAGCTTCATAAGATTTATCTTGTCTTATGCAACCCGCCGCGCGGATGATCATCAGATTAATATAAACTAACACAGACTCAATAAATGTATTTTATTAATACTTCTGTTATTATTTATAATATATTTTACATGTTTATTATTACAGGTGTAGCCAAGTGGAGCCACATTAAATCATTCTTTGAAAAAGACAATGAAAATCCAAATTTTGTTTTTGCACCTGCTTTAACCAAGCAACATATTGAACCCAATTTTAAACAAAAGATGAAAGTCAGCTTAGCTTGCCAAGTATTCAGCCATTCAGTTGCTGCAGGAATGCTTGCAAAGATTGCGAACAGTAAGTTGTTTTATTGGATAACTTTTAATCATCATCATCATCATCATTACAGCCCTTTACAAGTCCACTGCTGAACATAGGCCTCCCCCAAGGTATGCCACAAAGCACCGTCCTGAGCCACCTGCATCCATCGACTTCCTTCATGTCTTACCAGGTCGTCACTCCATCTAGTGGAGGGTCGCCCTACACTTCGTCTACCGGTATGAGGCTGCCACTCGAGAACCTTTTTTCCCCAACGGTTGTCGGTTCTTCGAGCTATATGGCCACCTATTTCCACTTCAGCTTACTAATCCGTTGGGCTATGTCGGTCACTCTGGTTCTACTGCGGATATCCTCATTTCTAAGTTTATTACGCAGAGAAACCCAGAGCAGCCCTCTCCATAGCTCGCTGAGCGACTTTGATCTTCCTCATAGGGCCAGCAGTGAAGGACCACGTCTCAGTTCCATATGTCATCACTGGCAACACGCACTGGTTGTACAACTTAGTTTTCTTAATTATTTTAATAATAACTTTTAATAATCTTCAAAAATAATCGACGTCTCGAAATATAATATAATAGTTTCTGAATATGTCAATCAACTATTATTAGAGCTTATTCAAATAATCATTCTAATAAGATAAAATTAAGCTACTTCGCGTTGACAGCTTTCTTTTATAATTGAATATTTTTATAAAGATTACTTTATTTAGTGTAATTTTTATGCCTGCTGTACACGCTCGTCTCGTCTTGTCTCGTGCCTCCCTCCCCGACACGCTTCCAAGAGCGAACGAGGGCGCAAGACGCGACGCGGCGAACGCGTGAATTTCCCATTGTCTTCAATTTCATTTCATTTTCCCTAACCTTTCACTATAAATTAAAAAAATGAGTGTTTACTTTACAGATGAACTGCCGCAAGAAGCAACGACGACAGCCATGCTGATAGAAAAAAATAGACCAGCTGTTCGACACCTTAAATGGCGATACGCCTGATCAGAAAAGAGGAAAAAATTCCTTACAAATTTTACCCGCAGAAGTCCACATTTAAATTTTTTTAAGGAAATGAAAATCCTGTTCCAAGAATTACAATTTATTGGGGCCAGATGCAAGCCGCCTTCGCAGGAAGGTTTTATTAGAACTATAAATGCAGTTGAGCGTCTATTTTTTAATTTAGAAAGGCAATATGGTATAAAAAGTTTATCAACGCGCAGGCTCAATCAAGATCCATTAGAAAACTGTTTTGGTTGCATCCGCAGCAATTGTGGATGCAACCCGAACCCAAACACCCTACAATTTGTTGCAGCTCTCAAAACCTCCATGATCAACAATTTATTGCATAGCAGTGAAAAGAAAAATTGCAAAGAAGACGATAATGTCATATTAAATGATTTAAAATCTTTTTTAAGTCAAGTTGACCAAAATAAAGAAACAAATGTAGCTGTTAATACATTTGATTTAACAGAAGGTGTAGAAGCATCTAATACTGTAATACCTCAGTGTTCTGGAGAACTGCAAGCTTGCGCATATGTATGTGGCTTCATGATAAAAAAATTAGTACCCATTTGCCATCAGTGCAAAATCACAATGCTTGCAGACCAGAACACACAGGTAAGTCATTTATTCACAAGCTTTAAAGAATACAGTTGTATGCGCAACAGTCTACATTATGTTAATAAATTTTTTACGGAGACAGTGGAGATTGCTGCAACAATTGTCAATAAATTTTTGGATGAGCATGGGTGTAAAATAAATATAAAAAATGAACTTATAGAAATTTTAAGAAGAAAATTAAATTTCGAATGGTTGCTTGGTTGTTCTGAGCACTATGATAAAAATAAAATGCATATAATTATTTCCACTATATGTATATGTATAAAACGACACTATATTTAAAAAAATAGGCAGTTCACCGATGAAGCTTCGAAAAAAGCAATGAAAAGAAAAATAAATATTTTAAAACACGCTTACAACTTAGTTTTATTTAATACCTTTCCATAAATATGTATGCATCATGAAAATAAACCAAAATTCAGGTAATTTTCAAATTAAATACCAGAATTTCGCTTTGTTTTCATGATACATGGCATAAAATAAAATGAAATAAAATCATGAGTTTATCATCGGATTTGAAATCTGGCGCGAAAATTAGTTCACGGGTCAAAAACTGGCGCGCTAGTGTCGCAAGTTGTTGGCATTTTTTTTGTATGAAGTTTTCGTTCTTCCCGTCAGGGTAAATGTGTTCTGTGGTTACACAATTACGAATTTTCTGTATATATTACTCTACTCTATGTTACGCATTTTTTTATTAACTGGCTTTACGGCTCTGGGTTCTAGCCCTTCTGAGCCTATAATTTCTTCCGGAATCTTCATTTTTATTTTCTTTTTCTTCACAATTTGCTGATACGTCACATTGCGAAGCTCTTGTGAGATTTTGACGACAGCTCAAACCATCGGACAGTTGATGACGACAGCCAATCAAGTTCATGAGGCACCCAAGCGATCAAAATTACTTGAGGTTTATATCGACATCAAAGCACATGTTTCGTCGTTTCTCTCATAATTCACACGCGCGGATACTTAATTCACAAAATCGCATCACTTTTACGAATCAAAATCCACTTCAAACAATTATTCCAGCGGCAAAACAGGAGCGACAATCCGTCTACGGCCAAGTTCCCGCCAAAACTCTCTATGTTACGCACGGGTGGTAATCTCTATACAAATATTCCTAGCCGTATACACAGAAACCTATAGACAAATTGACGCCTTCTTTCGCATTCGCACACGAAAAAGATAGATTTATGCATACGTCTTGCATAGAAATGAGATAGAGCGGTGTTTGTCCCTTTCTCCGTGCCGGTTTTTTACAGCGTAACTTTAACAGCGTAGTGATTTAAGGAGTTTACAAGTTGGTTTAAGTGAGAAAAAAGTGTTTTGTGAGCTTAAGATTGGTGAATCTTGGTAAGTTCAGTTCTTAGAACAGTTAAAATTTTTATCTAAATATGTTTAAAAGTCATAAAGATTATTGTATAACCTAAAAATTCGTTATCGTCCTTTCTCACTTGAGGCCACGCCGATCATTAGTCTATAGGTTTCTCTGTCTACGTTCCTAGCCTTATGTCTATGACCCTCAAAAATCGATGTTAACAGCTATTGACTACAATTGTATATTGTCCGTTCATCGTAACTTAACGCGTAATCCGATTGGTAGCCCTGTAATTTACAGTGTTGCATATTTCAATGCGAATGGCGTTCCCGAAATGTAGAGACAGGTATTATGGAACGGGATATAAGAGCATGTATGCATGCATCTCAAGCACGAGGTTGCGGGTTCAAACTTGGCATGTACAGTCGAACGCAATTAGGGCTAACAGAAGGGGAAACAATTCATATATCAATGGGGACATTCAGGTTAAATTAATTAAGACAGGATTAAAAGAATCACTTTATATAATTATGATCAATAAGGTGTAAAGTGATCATATTTTCTTCAACGTTACTTGGATGCTCATTGTCACTATCACTTTCGTCAGTGTCACTGCTAATCCACAATAAAAAGCGATATAATAGACCAATTTTTTAGTATGGAAGATTGTCGTCTGTACGTTAATACTCTTTAATAGTTTGTGGGACTGTAGAGGTAAGGAGTACAGACTCTATATAAAAAAGTATCCGTAGGAAAGCGCTAAATAAGGATGGCGTCACTGTATATACAGTATAAATTTTAAAGAACTTTGTATAATTTTTTTATTGAACAGACTTCACCATAATTCTTTTTACAGTAATTATTTTATTGCTTTCAAATTTTTTTAAAAAAATCACTCTCAACGGTGATTTATCATTCCCTGTAGCTACTCGAGCGCTGTTGTAGAGAGTTTTTGAACTGTAACTTACTGCTTACGGATGGACACATTTTCAACTAATTCTCATAAGAGAGATTGTCCTCCTTACCTCTATACTCCATTTACATACGTCAAAAATCAAAATCTCAAAATCGTAGGCAGAGTTCTCTGTCTACGCTCAAAGTAGATCGATCTCTTTTTATTCTTGTTGCGTTTTTTTTTACTAATGCTGGCAAAGGTCTTAGGCCGTACAGCGAACACACATTTACGTAAATGTGTTTATTGGAAAAATTATTCTCAGTATTTTACATATTTTATAGAAAAGGGGCAAACGAGCATGTGCTCACCTGATGATAACTGACTAATACCACCCTTAAACAACTGCAACACCTGGGGATGCTTTTTCGGAGGTTACTCAGTCGTATCATTCAGGAAAAAACACCGGTGGTAAACAATTCAATATAGTGGTCGTATGAGAATGAAAACTCCTGGCAAAACGCACATTTGAGGACTGTCAAGCCTCCAGATGGTGTGGATCACAAACGAATAAGAAGTACAAGCGGTGT